CAAGTGAGCAGCTAATAAAACTAAGGGGAATTAAAAGGGGTTTTAAAAAAGAGGTGGAGACATCACATATAACTGGATTTCCTTCAGCATAGAACAAAATTTATCAGCTCACAGAAATGGCCAGAAACTGATGAATTGCTAACAAAATTAAAATTGGCAAAATATTAAAATTTTACCATGCCAACAGCTGCAAGGTACTGTGGGAGATTTCCCTCCCAAGAATGCAGGGAACAATACTGTTCTAATCTACTTGCCAAGATACAGACCACTGTAATTTTAGCAATTTCAGAAATGGTAAACATAATCTTATGGCATTTCCCTGAACTAGATTCCAGATTTTTAAGTCAACTTCTACATCTCCTAGTCATGCATCATAGAAAACTGTATATATATTAACTCTACTCTTCACTTAGTATGAATGAGTGCTCCCATAGCCACTTAGCGTGGGTTAATGAGTGTCCTAAGACAACACAGAATTTTATAAACATAATTAAAATATTTTAGCAAGAATAAATTTCACTACAAGCAGGAAGGTTTGAAACAAAGTTTAGTACAATTAAAGTCCTACTTAACTCCTCAAATATGAAGACTGAAAGACTATGTAAAATCTGTACACACTCAAAATACTGGTAAATACATACTTCAGAGTACAGAACCATGAGCTGCACAGGATATCCTCAGCAAAATGATACAGCATAGCCCTAAAACTGGTGGCTTGAGAAAAAAAATATATCAATCTTTTGCTGTTATATATCTTGCAAATTGAAAAGAAATAATAGATTCAGAAAACCAAACTGTAACTCGAAAGTTATAATAAAATCAAAGCTCAAACTGAACTTTTTTTATGAACTGATTTCTGATCCTCAGACTCATCTTCATTTTTTTATACATCAAGCTAATAAGATCCACTCAAAATTCAGATGTAGTATTGTTCATTTACAAATTAAATTAAAATTGTTGTTTCCTTGAAGGGCCATGAAACTGAGAAGGAGTCATCAAAATGCTCTGCAGATTATTCCAGTTAATATGGAAAAGCTTAATGATTTGTAATGAAAATGAGATTGGTCTCTAAAACCACTTGAGCGTTTATGTTTACACAGGCTTATTGAACTATTCAGATAAACTTCATACCTCATCTGTGACTGTAAAAAGGGGTAATGCAGCCTACACAAATGAAAAAGATGTGAATTCTCCTGGGCAATGACACTGTATCTGTAATAAATTTAAATAAATCATCCTCACTATTCATAAGGACTTGAAACAAAGTGCTGCTTTTAGGGAAAAAAACATTTTTTCTTGTAAAACTTTCCAAAAGAACTTTCTAATGACACTTTTCTCCTTGTGCTAACACACAGGAAACTTAAACAGAATATATATGGATTTCCAATGCATCCTTCCCTCCTAATTCATTCCCATGCTATGGCAAGAAACAAGCATGAATCCTCCAAAACAAGAAACCAGACTTTTCATGTTGCATTGTTTTGTTAAGCTAGTTCTAGTACAGTATCACTGACATACTTCCAGCTAAATTGCTACTAAACAAGTAGACAAAATCACTTATGTTGGAATCATAAAGTCTAACTGTTAGCATAGGTGAGAAAGACTTGTTCCACCCTAAATAATAAAGACAAGACCCAAAAAATGAACTCAAAGGTAGCACAGGAGACAGAAGAAGCACAAGAAAACTTTTTTCTTGGAGGGAATCACAATCCTTTCCGAAAGTCATCCACATACAGGAAAAACCACAAAAATACAATTAATATGTGTCTTTAAGAGTGAACTTTTATACAGTCAGATATATATGTGGATACTTTATATATACAATAGAAGTTGGACCAAAGAAAGAATAATGATGCAGTAGTCAGAATGTCAGCAATGAAGTTGCAACCATGACAAGGTGGCTTCACACTTAAACGTGTTTCCATCTTTCTTATAAAATGATTTGATTAATAGTTTGTGGTAGCTAAAAGTATTTATTTGTGCTCTCTCTCCTGTCATAGCACTGATGAAAGGGGTATAGAGATGTGGAGGGTATGTAGGGTATTTTCTCATAGTTTTAGAAACATATAAAGCTTTAAAAAAAGTCACTAAGAATAGACTAAGAATTGACTAAGAATAGACACATTTGCAAAAAAGCACAAAGGAGACGTGTATGATCATAATTGTGTCTGTTTTTTGTGATGAATTATGGTGCAGAATCTGAAGTTTGTACCAGAAACTGAATCAATACAGAAATACTTAATAGCAACACAAAGCTACTTAATTGGCTCTGCTGAGATGTAAGACTAACTGGAGGATGTCGAAGCTGCACCATTTTCTGCACTCAGGTCTCTCCAAAGAGCATGTGCTGGATGTGCCATTTCATCTGGTACTAGTCCAGCAGAGTGTCTTTCAGGGTGATCAACTGGGTAACATAAAAATGTTCTTAGTTCACTCTCCTCTAACAGCTGTAACAACCTTCATACTTCAGCCTTCATACTACACCTAATCATGACATGTGCTTGCTTGAAAAAAACTATGGTCTTTTCAGTCTTCCCTTCAGTATCTAATGAAAGAGTGTTGTTTTTCCCATCTTTCTTGATGCCCCTTCGGTATGAAGTCATGCAGGATTCCTCTGTGGATATACCATCATTTCATCTATGAATCTATAGACAGACTAAGGGTCTTGGATTCATAGATCACTGGCAAGACCTATTAGATGACTGCTCACACTAGCACTCTTCAGCTCTGGATTGAAGGCACAATTTTTCTAACCCTCAGTGTAAGAGCCAGTAACAGATGGAGTCCAAGGCCCAGGCAGAGCACACCAGCTCTGGAATGCTTTGTTAAGGGAAAGCATGTCACCATCTCCCTGATGGGAGCACTAGAGCCCATTTGTCTCCACTGATCCAGGGCAAGCTGGAGTCTCTGTTGTTCCAGCTGCTTTGTTGAGGATATCACAAGCATTCCTCTCATCCTACCTTCATTATTTCCTGTTTGACCAAACTCTCAAAGGAATTACTTTTTCCAAGCATGCACTTGTGGATCTTATATAGATGGATATAACACTGTATTTGACTCTGCATTGCTGAAATGGGTGTCAGGTCAGCAGAATAAAATAAAGCAGAATTTTTCCCTTTGGGGATATATCTGGGGTGTTTCTAACATGAATTAATCTACTAAACATTTACAAAAAAAAACCAAAAAACCAGAAAAGACCAAGATATATGAGTGTGTGTAGAACTAAATGAGGGTAATAGGGGAGAAAGGAGTAGAAAACAAAGAAAAGGTGTGCAAGTACAGTATACTAACTTCAGGTTCCTGAATTTAAACTGCAGCACAAGTTAAACATTGACTAAAAACCAAGAGAAATGCCCAGTTAAAACACTCATTGATCAAGCAATCAATAAGCTGGTAGCATTACATGGATTAGGTGGCCCAAAGAAAGCTCAAGTGTCCCAGAGACTCTCCCATGTTGTCAGCTTTGGTCTCCTTGAGGAAAACAATCAAAGACTCAAGAATTCAATGCCTAGAATTCATTATACATTACATTAGTTTCCCAAAAAACAATTACCCCAACACATAGCTGTAGTTGATCTGAAATTGAAACATAAGTAGAAACAGGTTTTAATCTATTCCACACTTTTGACATGGAAATATCAGGTATCCAGAATCTTTGCCATTGTGCTTTAAAAAGTTTTACAAAGGTCTTCATAAAGGGACCACCTTATTCAGTGGTGACATATTAAGAAAAAATGCTAAAATTAAGAGAAACACTCATTGCAATGTTAAGAAGGAAAACCAATTGTCCTCAATGCAAGGGAGCTCAAGACAGAACTTGAGTTTTCCCACCACTTGCCTCCACTCCACAAAGAAAATCTCTCCCTTAGTTATTTGCCTTATATTTGACACATCTGTAGCTTCAAGCTCTCACAATACAGAGCTGGCATCCATGTATCCAAGAATGTCTTTTGCTGATGCCACCACTTTCCTAAGTATCAGGATGTACAGATGTCAGGAGTGGAATGTCTGATTTTCTGAGTCCCAGAATGATTGTTTTAGAACATAACTACTATGTTATGTTACTACCATTACAGACAGTAGGCAGGCTCACATGGACTGACTCCAGCATACAATCTTAACTGTTGCAGTAATGGAAAGCCTTAAACTAGTTCAGAGAAAAACAGTAAGCATGTCATCATAGAACTTTAAATTGCTATTGATTCTTCAGAATATCACTCTCCCAAAAGAATTGTATTCAGGGAAGAATATTTTTTTTAAGTCCCTTTTTATTTGTTTCTTCTGTGTTAGGCTACCAATCTACTGGCAGTGTCCAGCTCAATGTGATCACAAGGGTGGAGAATGAAGGATATCAGATGAGTTACCATTGTTTGTATCAAACCACCACATAGCCTGATGAAACTTTCTATTGCCTGGCCAAAACCACAACACTGTATGATAATGTTAGTGTAAACCTAAAAAGTACTGAGATGATTTGCAGGCTACTAGTAGTTCACCTTATCTTGGTAGAAACTTATCACTCTCAGAAATACAGAGATGCAAGATACAATGCTCCTACTGTCTAATTCATGCAGAGGTTTTCAGAAGTATTCTTGTCAGTCTCCCAAGATGCTTTTTACCTCCTCCAAACTGCAATTTTCTAACAAATATTTTTAGCCTGTATTTCTTACCCTAGTCTTGATTTTGAAAGATTCTACACACGCGTAATGAATACAAAAACTGTAATTTTGCAATAGTATGTATAATCTCAATACATAAAAGTAGTTTTCCTCTCCATTCTACAGATCCAATGTGACTGTGTTTAATTAAATTTATATAATTTTCTTTTTTTTTTTCCCATTCTTGAGTTATTTTTGTAGAACCTGTGCTATTATAATATATATATATTTGCACTCAGGCGATGAGACCAAGCACTGATTTGAAGTAGATGAATGGAGAAATTTAGAGATGTGTAATTGCTGCAGGAAAGGAGAGAAAGGAAAATGTATTCAAATACTCACTTTGATGAATCTATGAAGTATATTACAAGAGCACCAATACTAAGAGCGAAGACTAAGACAACCTACAAAAGAAAAGAAAAGAGTAATTATTTAGCAACATTAATAATTTATTCTTTTACATATAAAAAAAAAGAAAACAAAAATAAATAAGCTAGTTTAATTTCAGCTCTAATTTTCTTTAGAAAATTACTCCTACTTGAACTTCAAACATTATATATTATCATAGAATGCTTTCTTGCATTGAAAAAGAGACAAACAATCTGGTTTTATCAGATCTATCCTTCAGGATTGCTCATTGGTGCATAAAGTAAGAGTGAAAACAGATTAGACTGAACTTCCATTCACATGGCTGTGAAACCCACAGGGAAACTATAAGACTGCACTCCTGTCCAGTGAGACCACAGTGAACTTTTAAAGCAATACTTGATGCAGCACATCCTGACAGTGATGACTTTTGTTAACAGTCTTAATTGTTAAAGCCACAGATGAGCACTGGAATAAAAAGCTCTTGATTCAATACAGGCTTCAGACCTCTTTCTGAAGCTGCTATATTGTGAACAAGCCTGACTGATGATAACAATGCAAGGAGGGGTCACACAATGCTTTCATTCTAAGCAGACCTTCTGAGACATTCCTCTGCTCTCAGCTATCACTCAATGCTATAAAGGCAATGTCTGAAGCAATAATTATGTAATAATTATTACATAACCAAACTCTGAAGCTCTGCATGGCCAGTATCAAACATGCACATACCTTCCAATAAAATAAACTCATTGATGTATTAATGTTACATAATTACTACTACTTGTTAAAATAACTATTCAACTGAAAGCCTGAATTATTTGTCCTTACTTTCATATCTTGCTGACCATAACGTTTTTTATTTTGTGAATGTCTGAAAAGGTTATTTCGTCCAAGTACAAGTATCTGTTGTCTTATCTGATGCATTATCACCTGAACCAGTGAGATCTGTCTGTCAAGTTCAAGAATAGAAGCCTGAAAGTAATTGAAGTAAAATTTTTGCTACCTAAGACTACTAAAATGTTAATATCTAGAGTTTAAATCTTCTTTCATTGTTGCAAGATGAAATAAGCTATTAAATTCATATCAACTGGTAGGAGTCTCACCATCACAAGAAATAATAGTGCTGAACAGAACTTGTGAATTGTTATCTACACATACCCCAAATTATGATTAGCAGTGATCCCAAGGCCACCCCCCTTTTTTTTTTTTCCTCTGAATTAAGATACTGGGAATCAAATTATCATGCACACTGTGCCCTACCTATTGGAATATTCCAAGCTACACAAAATCATGCTTTGGATCTGAATCAAATCTACTTCATTATTTATTATCAATCCATTTCAAGGAAAGTCTTAGTTTTTTTTAAAAACAGAATTTAAAAAGGTGCTAAGTGTTCTGAGAACACAGAGCTTACTTTTTTGGCAAAAGTTTTGATTTTGCCCAAACCAGTTTTAAACATAGATATTCACTTTTAAATAATTTAAAGTCAAGCATTAGTGATAATGTTTTATTCTGCATTCTGTGGAATCATTTCTACACTAACAGTGCCCCCAAAACCACTATTAAATATAAGTATCTCTTAAAAAACAAACAAAAAAACAATAAAATCCCAAATCAAACAATCTACTAACAACAAAAGAAAAGAAAAGAGGAAAATAATAACCCCAAAAAAGCCAAAGTATGAAAGAGATTTACCCTATGGCAGGAGTTTTGGGTTGTAGAATGCTGAAATGGCCACTTAATGCTGAAAATGAAATTTGAAAAACTAAACTTGTAATCCATTTGGGACTCTATAAATACTCTTCTCATTCTTTCAAGTTTCACAGAGTACACAAGGACTTTGTAAAACTTAAGGGAGTTTTATTTTCCTTTTCACATAGCAGGTCTCGAGTCACAACATTCAGTCATTGCCTCCTACCCAAAGGATTCTTGTAGAGCAAACCCAGCATAACACTGGGATAACAATCATAACAATTAATCATCACTGTCCTGCTTAAATGTTACTGAGATTCTGGCTGAGACCTTCCAAAAAAACTTAAAGCCTTTCAGTGTTCTGTGACAGTTCATGTAACTGCCACTAAAATGCAAATATCTGTATTTTGCAAGCAGCCCTAGATTCCCATGCCTCGCCAAACCGTGAGATATGTACGTGTGCGAGACTTCAGCATTGCCCTTCTGTAATATGTATACCTCATTTTAAATCAAGGCTTATTTTCTCTTCTATTGCCTTGAAACCTGTGCCTAACATGATTGATAATGTCTCACAGAATCTCAGAAAGGGTATCAGAAGAGAATGGAATCTTAAACTCCATTTCTTTTCCCTGCTAGCAGAGAAACACGTTTTTGCTAAGTGATGGAGAAATTGAGCTGACCTTGAAACCATCAAGTGTGTTGAAAAAGCAGACCTTGAACCAATCAGGTTAAAGTTATACTAAAATATAAAAAAGAAAGGAATAGATTTTAACAAACCCCAGACTCTTGTATGTTATATGATAAAGTCTCAGATGCAAGTTTTTTGCTGTATTCCCATCTAAATAAACTGGAGTGCAACCTGGTCATTCAGACAGACCCAGGACAACAATTACTGAGTTTGTTCTAGCCTTCCCAAGATTACCAGGGGAGATAATGTCTATTTTAGAGACCTTACTATGCTTGAGGGGTCTCACACTGCTCACTATTTCAATGCCTTTGCCAAAATATTGCAATTGCTACACATCTATTATAACCCCTCTGTGCAGAAGAAGAGAATCCTTTAATTTATAATAGCTTGCTGTTTTAGATTAAGAAATGTGAACTCATATGCTAACAGCTATACTGACTAAGCACTTACTAATAAATTAAAAATAAAATATTTATAAATAAAAAATATTTATAAAAATAAATTAAAAATAAACACCTATCTTATTAAAGGAAATATGGAGAAATACATAGAATATTTGCTACATATCCCTAAATCTTTCATAAAAAATGGGAATAGACAAAATCCAACCCCAGATTTCAACAGAAGTGTACAATGACTTTTTGAGGCAAGAATCAGAGAAACTGCAGATAAAATTCATCTAAGGAAAATAAAAAATGTTTTGACTGATTCCAAGATGTTTTAGAAGAGCTTTGACTGCAGTCAAAATTTAGGCATCCATAATAAATACAAAAAGAAAAAAGAGAAAGAAAAAAAGGGGAGTTTTGATTATGGTGTAACAGCAGAATACTATTGCAGGCAAGCACCAGCTCTGAGAAACACTGGCTCAACTAAGCTCACCTTGCAGGCCCCAGCCTATGTAACAAAGGCATAATCCAAGTGGTGGCACTGTTTCCCCTGCAACTCCTTAAGTGCATTTTGAATTAAAAAAGTGAAAAATGAAAAGGCTGGTCACATTAGCCAGGAGGGCTACAGTAAATAATGAAGAGCCATGTTCAGACTCTAGAGCAGGGACTTCAGTCTCTCATACCCCGTAACACTTGAACATTCCGTGAAAGCTGAAACAGAGCTCTTTGAAGTTTCAAAAGCGAATTCTTGCTTATACAAGATTAAATTATCCAAACATAATTAATACAAAAAAGCATAGAACTCAAGAGGCAAAGCAGAAAATCAAAATGGAATAATCGCCTCTTTTTATTTTCCTCCAAAATTAAATATTAAAATAGGAAGCATGCAGTGAAAAGAAAAAAAAAACAACTTTCAGAAATCTCTAACTCCTAACACCTCAAGGCATCAAAGACTTCTTGTTTTTTCTGACAACACTCTGTTCTGTACTATTCTTCAAAAATGTTTTTTTCAAATTCTTATTCTATGCTTAAATCATTCAACCCAAAGGCTACTGTAATGCTTAAAATATACTAGGTTGTTTGTTATTAATATTTTTTTGAAATTCATTTAGTTTTCATTTCTACATTCACAGAGTAAATTCTGTTAATATGCTACTCAGTTTCATCAACTATGATTTAAAATAAAATTCCATTCATTTTTATATTTATAATTAGTTATGGAGAATGCAAATTATTTCCTATATGCATAAAGCTAAAACTTCAATGATCCATTAAACTTTTGTTACACAAAAGTTTTAACAAAAAGCGTTAGAAGTGTTTTTGTTAGAAGTGTTTGACAAAACTTCTGTTACACCAAAGTTTGCTCTCCTAAGATGACAATAGCTTGATGTTTTGATCTAACTTGGATGAAAATTTTCATACCTGAAATTAAAAGGTACAATAAAGGTAAAAGGTTTGGTAAACCCCAAACGTCCTTTAACCATCAAAAAAGAAATGAATTGTAGTTGTTTTATAGACAGAATTTACTTGTCCAGATTTGATAGGCATGAAAACCTCAAAAAGCTAAGGACACACCTGCTTCAAGTTACGTTTCAGAAGTTAGGAATTGCTTCTAGTTTGGCAATCCCAGCATGAAATTACAGACTCTAGATGTACCCACATCTTTGCAATTATTGTAATTTAACAAAAGTAAGACCTTCCTGACCATAGAAGATGCAGAATTCAAAAGTAAGACCTTCCTGACCATAGAAGATGCAGAATGTCTTACCTAAAATTGCTGTCCCACTAACTGACACCCTATATGCAAAGAACAAAATTTGGAAATCATTCCATATAGTCAAAGCCATAAGTGGTAGGAAATGCAGTGCAGCTGACACAAAAAACTGAGCAATTTATGTATCTTAAATTAATATAATGACAAATTAAGTTCTATTATTATAAAACAATATAGATGCTTGTTCTAAAAAAAAAAAAAAATCAATGTTCTACCATTTTGTACTGTATTGCTTACTTTGAGATGTTTTTATTTCTGTTACCTTTGAACATGAACCAGTGAACCAAAACAGCTGCTTGATGTCAAACTATAGAATCCAACAGTCACCTTCAGAACTTTGTGATTTGTACAGTCAAATAAAATGTATTCAGATTTTTACAGAAATTGGTAGTAAGTTTCTGTTTAGAGGCCTTTTTCCCCAGTATACCCTGCCAGGTAACCAGGAGAAAAGAAGAAGAGAATTTCTTAAGTTCATCAACAGGAGCTAGGACCGTGCTC